AGAAAAGTTTGTAATTTGTACAACTCCATCTATTACGTCCTTTGTGTGACAAAACATCCTTTTTAAATCTCTTTTTGTGTTTTAAGTATATTAATTATTATGGAACGTTTTTTTACACACCTAAATCTTTTTATTACTATTTCTGAGATTTTATGGCGCCATTGAACAAATTCGTACCTACATTTCAAAATAATAATCATTACTTTCGATAGAATTAACCAATTTTTATAAAACAAAGATTAAATGTAACTCGAAGATACGCTTTATGATTTTCTTAACGATTTCTTTGAAAATAAAAGATGTTTACTTTAGACGTGATGCGTTCATATAATAACAGACAAATAGACAGACAGACAATTCTAAAAATTATAAAATGTTCTTATTTAATTATTTTCAGTTCCCCATAATGATTTTAGCCACCAAAATATATATACAATGTACAGAAAGAGACACAACATGTTATCATCATTTTTATTATATGTATATATTTAAAGAGAGATGGCGCTGCTAACATCAATTCTAAAAATAAAAGAGATTAATTGACGCGATTGATACATTATATAAAACGCAAGAGAACTTATAAATCAGTGCCTGCACAGTAAGCAAAAAATAAAGTTTGACTCTCGCCAAAACCAACGCAATTGTTAATAGCTGTTTTAAAATTTGATTTACCACAAAGAGTACTCGGCGGTAAAGAATAAATTGAGTTTGTCAACACGCAGTAGGGCAGGGAGTAATATAATAAAGATTAGCAGTAAATATAAAAACTCATCTACCGGAAAAAACCACATTTGCAATTGCAATACATTTTCACAACACCACCATCTATCGAAGAAATGGGTTAACTATTGTGCTTCAGATTTAGTTAATAAGGTTAATATATTTTTGTATAATATATTTAATACGTTCTTTAATACTTTTGTTTACTGCGTTTTAGATATACATAATTATATCATTATTTTACATAATTTAACTATGATTTATGATATGATATTAGTTTAAAATGCACTTGATGACTCAAACAAAGCCACCGTTGAGCAAATTCGTACCTATACTTCCCTACCCATACTTCAGAATATTTATCATAACTTTTGATGGAATGAACTGATTTTAACGAAATAAAGACTAAATGTAACCCGAAGATACACTTTATAATTTCCTTAACAATTGTTATGATATAAATTAGTACTTTATACGTGATACGTTAACAAACAAACAGACAGACAGACAGACAGAAAATTCTAAAAATATTATACTTATTTATATACTTATTTTTAGTACCCCTCAATCACTTTTATTACAAAAATATAAAATGTACAGACATCTGCTATTTACAGTTTTATTATATGTATAGATTAAAAAATAATTTTATGTCTTCGTAAAAAGCGGCAATATTTTTTGTTCTACACTACAAAAGTGTAGTGCTCTGTATATATTTAGTAATAATAGATTATAAATATATGTTACATACATAAATATCTACTGTGCTTTTTTATTTATTTTAACTGTTACATTAATTATAGGTTTTATTACATATCTTCAATATTTTAGTGCGATGTTCGTACCTACATAAAACACACATAAGCAACCATATCCCCATACACACACACAAATGCACACGCCACGCACACACATTTTATACTCTTAGAATCAATAGGTACGTCAATAGGAATGAAATATAAAATCTCCCACATTTTTTGGGTAATCGATTCGCACTGTTATTACCGAAGTCACGCACATTAATGCAGCCATGGTGCGTAAGATATGCGCGTCACGTGGTACTCAAGCACACATGAATCAAAGACTGTCTTCACTATGAACGTTGCGGTGTGTTAGCAACACGGTATCTGGACCTATAAAACATCTCTGGCGTAACGTTTGTGTTAAAAGCGCCTTGTCTTACTCGACATTGGTACGCGTCTGGAACACACTAATCCGCCCCAATCTGTCACTATAATATAATTTTGTGTCCATGGGCTATAGTAACCACTTGCCATTAGGTAACTTGTAGCTTATTTCATTAATATTACAAAATGTGTATATCTTACCTATTTCATGATTCCCATTTTCTACAAATGTGGAATTCTCAATTTCGAAATTCTCTTGCTCAACTTTAACAGATTCAAGGCTAAACATATCGTCCTTACAATTATTTTCTACATCACACTCTACTGGCCTGATATCTATATGACTAATTGGTGTGAATTAAATCTTATCTCTAGCCTCATGATGATTTGGTATTGACTGAAACCAAATTCTTTTGTTAAATAAGAGAAAAAGCCAGCATAGTGGTACCGCAGGAGACTCCATACTACCATATCATCCCGCAGATGTCGTAAAAAGGGACAGAGGGAAACTGAAACAGGAGATGGACAACAGCATCTTCCTGACAACAACTACAAAAATAATTAAAACCGGACAAAGTGAGGGTTCCGAATAAAATTAAATAAGAATGTAGATAGTTTATCCATCCCGAGCATCGAGTCTCAACAATATTTCATACAGATTCACGAATGCTGTAAATTGACACAGATATTTGTTGATCTTTGTTTACTGAGTAGTATTACATACCGGGTGTTCGTGAAACGCTCCCGAAAGCGAAGACAGATGATAGTAGGTACTACACTTTAGCACATGGGTCACAAATTAATTTGATCCCAAGGAAAAAAACATCATCTTTTGACAACGTTTTATTAACTTTATTCACGCTAAATCATGTAAGTACAGCTAAATGAAACGATAATTTCATAAAAAAAATCATGAAAATAGTTAAACAAGAAACCAGCAGTGAAACTTTAAATAACATCAGCTGACAATAGGATCAATATCCTCGCGGGCGCCGAACTCTCATAGGTCCCGTCACGTAAAAACGCTGGCCTTGTTGAACCTGGGCACTGAGCGATTTATCGATCAAATTGGTGTTACGAAGTTTCATTTTTTAGTTTCATTTTTCATTTCTATTTTCTTATACAAAATCAAAGATAACGATGAAATAGTGTTTATAATTGTGTGAGTACTGAGTACCCAATTAGGTACGTTTATTGATTTCAATAATTTTTTGTAGGAAAGAACTGCTTGTTGCATCAGGGTACAATTGATTGTGTAATTGTATTAAAAATGACAACCGTAACTTTTAAATTCCATATGAAGACTAGTCGTAGGCATAAAACTTATAAATTAAATAAACGTTGGCGATGTCTTCACATACATAAGGCTTTAACGGTGTGTGGAAGGTTCCAGTGCTTCAAGGACTTTACCTTGTGCGCATTTGTTTTAGCGGAATTGATTAATAATTTTAGTTTTTGAGACAGTTCCGTGTTGACTATCACAAGAGACAGTTCAATTGCTTTGTTTATTAAATTATTGTCGTTATTACTTGTTATTTATTACTTAATGGTATTATTCTTGTTGTTACGTTTTAAGTTTCTTGTTTTGTTTTTATAATGCCTAACGTGTACGTTTATAGTTCTCGTGAATACGACAACATGTTAATGTGCCTTGGAAAAGCTCGCGGGAATGCTTCGCATGCATTGCGAATTTACCGAGAGAAATTCCCAACCGCTCGACATCCAGCTGACACTCGTCTGATAACAACAGAATTTCAGCGAGTGTGGGAAAATCGGCCCATTGCTCTGGTGGCGGCAGGAGGTGGAAGTCGAGTGGCTGTTCACTCAGAGGAGTGCATTTTAGATGTCGTTCGCCGGAATCCGAATCTAGGTACACGAAGTATCACTAAATTGTTAAGGCTGTCGGGATGGAACAAGTGTGTCATACTGTACAGTTCATGAAGTGTTAAAGCGTAACCGAATGCGCCCATACAAAGTGTACAAAGTGCAAGCTTTAGTTCCCGGCGATCACGACCGCCGGCAAGTTTTCTCCCGTTGGTTATTAGACCAGCAACAACGTGTGCCTGGTTTCATTGAGCACGTCACCACGGAGTATTTAGAGCGGTAAGCTGTTTCACACCTAATTTTTTTTAAGTAACTTGGTACTGAACTGATCTGAATAGGTACATAACTGAATACATCAAATAATAAACATACCTACACGATGAATAAAAACGCATGACTCTAACCTTGGTTACATTTCATTTAAGTATTTTTTTCATTAGCGGGGAATCGAACCAGTTATTTGGGTTATTTAACCTGTGAATTCGAATTAAAATGGCTACGTGGAGACAAGCACAGTGGCAAAGTAGTAGGTTAAGTATATAAGTTAGGTATTTAGACAAGTGTTATAAACTATTAGGTATTGTGGTATGGCCCGCTAGCTGCGGGCCACGCGTATTCGGCGTTGGCGCGTACATTGACCCCTAGTCAGCTGATTGTAATTCAGTAATTCCACTGCTGGCTTTATGTTTAAGTATTTTCATGATTATTTTAATGAAATTATCATTTCATTTAGCTGTACTAACATGATAGAGAATGAATAAAGCTAATAAAGCGTTGTGAAAAGATGATTTTTTTATCAGGATCGATTTTATATTTCACCCATCATCAAAGGTATAGTTGGTACTGTCGTCTGTCTTCGTTTTCGGGAGTGTTTCAATAATACCCTGTATAGATAATATTTCGTTTATATACAATAGAGTTAATAGTATAAACAGTTAGACAATTGTTTTTGAAAATATAAATACTTAACTTACTGCAATTAGTAACATAATAACATTGCTCTAACGAAAAAGTAAGTTGGATTGAATGATGAACTTAACTTTGCAGTGGAAAAAACACACTAACTAAAAGTGTAATACTGTGGACAGCGTATTGGCGATGTAAGAATATCCACTAACCTGTATACCTACCCACTGGACGAGAATCGTAAGATGCGACATAGGGAAACAGAAATAGGAGTTGGGCAACAGCATCTTCCTGATAACAACTCAGACCAATATAAACTGCAGTTGCCAACCTGCCGAGCGTGGCAAAGTGGGCAAAACCCCTCCTATATGAAGCAATTTATGAGGGGCTTTTATAGGTTTTAATGGATGGAACGGATAATACCATGGACCCTCCTGCAAGCAACTGCTCCAGAACTGCTTTTGACTCAATAGCCTGTTGTTGTAATGTTCTGCAACGAATGAGTCTTGCATGACAGGTGAAACAAACAATTATGGGCTCCTCATCCTCATCCATCTGAAAATATGAAAGTTTGTCATAAATATGGAAAACAACTTAAATATACAAGTTTGTAATAAAATCTGTTGGCTACCACAATTCTCTTCATCCTAATCTTACTAGTATAATACCACCTGATGGTAAGTGAATGCCCATACACATCTACAATTTATCCCCAATTAAGAATCAAAATGCAGATGTGCTATCACCTCTGAGGACCAAGACGGAACACCGAGCCGCAGAAAAAAGGATGTACGGTTCTCTACACTGGCTTAGCTTTCCATTGACGTCCGTCAAGTTGGATGTTGATATGTATTTTTATTAAGAAAAGTTACACTATTATAAGCACACACACAAAGTTTCAACATGCGGAAACGCGTAATTTTTGAGAAAAAAGTTATTGAAAATCAATTATTCTTGCAATGTTTATGTCTAATCCTTCCGTGAAACTGGCGCCATTTTGTAATGTCATTGTCGATGTCAATAGGGATGTCGATTCTTTCCGAAAAAGGTCGATTTTTAAATCGATTCAAATCGTAAGCTGATGTATCGGTTCACACAAAATCGATTTCTAAAATATCTATATTTTTTTTAATGTTTGCATTTATATTGTAAATATAAACACATTTTATGAAAAACAAGAAAGATACCATGATAAATGATCTCTTATTGAAATTTGTTTTATTTTAACAGTACCTATTAGGGCAGATAACAAATAAAATAGGTTAGGTTCAACTTATGTCAAAGAACCGAATTGATTGACCCCGACTTCACCTGGTACGAGTCTGTCCTACCCCTAGAGTGGTTTTATAGAGCCGGAGGCGCGTAGGGGGAGCGGCCTCCGCCTGCTGTAACAAATCCCTCCTCGCCTCCGCAGCTTCGGCTTGTTGGTCACCTTCGGCGACCAGCGTCAGCCGCTCCGGCTCGTCCGATGCCTGCGATTTGTTACGCTAAGGCGTTGAGGCTGCTCTTCCCGCAGCGCCGGAGACGTAGCAGTCTTAAATCAGATACAGAAATCCTTCTGAATCAGTCCCCTTATTCTTTTATGATGAAGGGATTTTTTTTTCTCATAAATTGGATTTATATTTTCATTATAAATGCAAACATGAAAAAATTATAGATATTCTAGAAATCGATTTTCTGGGAATTGATACATCAGCTTACAATTCGAATCTATTTAAAAAAATCGATCTTTTTCGGAAAGAATCAACATCCCTACTGACAATAATAATAAAAAATGGCGTCAGTTTCACGGTAGGAATTGACATAAATATTGCAAAAATATTTGATTTCGCTTAGCTTTCCATTGACGTCCGTCGAGTTGGGTGTTGATACGCATTTTCACAGAAAATTTACACTATTATAAGCACACACACACAAAGTTTCAAGATGCGGAAACGCGGAATTTTTGAGAAAAGAATTATTGAAAATCAATTATTCTTGCAATGTTTATGTCTAATCCTACCGTAAAACTGGCGCCATTTTGTAATGTCATTGTCGACGTCAATAGGGATGGATGTCAATTCTTTCCGTAAAAGGTCGATTTTTAAATCGATTCAAATCGTAAGCTGATGTATCGGTTCACACAAAATCGATTTCTAAAATATCAATATTTTTTTAATGTTTCTTTCTTGTTTATAATGTAAATATAAACCTATTTTATGAAAAACAAGAAAGATACCATGATAAATGATATCTTATTGAAATTTGTTTTATTTAACAGTACCTATTAGGGCAGATAACAAATAAAATAGGTTAGGTTCAACTTATGTCAAAGAACCGAATTGATTGACCCCGACTCCAACTGGTACGAGTCTGTCCTACCCCTAGAGTGGTTTTATAGAGCCGGAGGCGCGTAGGGGGAGCAGCCTCCGCCTGCTGTAACAAATCGTAGGCATCGGACGAGCTGGAGCGGCTGAGGCTGGTCGACGAGGGTGACCAACAAACCGAAGCTGTGGAGGGGAGGAGGGATGCCTGCGATTTGTTACGCTAAGGCGTAGAGGCTGCTCTTCCCGCAGCGCCGGAGACGTAGCAGTCTCAAAATAGATACAGAAATCCTTCTGAATCAGTCCCCGTATTTTTTTATGACGAAGGGAATTTTTTCTCATGAAATGGATTTATATTTTCATATTGCATATTATAGGATTATCCGAAGTCCGAAGAGAGGGGGAGGACACGGTAATCCTCGAATCCGGCAACTTGCTCAATCACCGGGAGGGCGACCATCTGTCCCAAGGAGGTGTCGGATTTATCGTCCACAAGTCTCTCGTTAACAACGTTGTAAAGATCGGGAGTGTGTCGACGAGGGTTGCGTACCTTATACTCAGAATCACCAAACGGTATTCGCTGAAGGTCATACAGGTTTACGCACCAACCTCGGCACACCCCGATGAGGAGGTGGAGGAAATGTATGAGGATATCTCTAGAGCCATGCATTCCTCCAAAACCCAATATACGGTGTTAATGGGAGACTTCAATGCAAAACTAGGCACAAGAGAGAACGGTGAGCTGAAAGTAGGGAAATTTGGAATAGGGCAACGGAACCCAAGGGGCCAGCAGCTGGCCGACTTCATGGAGAAAGAGAAAGAGAAAGAGGGACTCTTTATGATGAACTCTTTCTTCCAGAAGCGGCCCCACAGGAAGTGGACCTGGTCGAGCCCTGACGGTTCGACAAAAAATGAGATTGACTTCATTATGACGACCAGACGAAAACTGTTCAGTGATGTCTCCGTGATCGCGAGGGTGAAAACTGGTAGCGATCACCGAATGGTTAGAGGCACACTGAACCTAAACGTTAAGTTGGAGAGGTCTCGTCTAATGAAGTCAACGCTCCGTCCCCCTCGTGCTCTGTTCCAAAGTCCCGAAACCTTTCAGCTCGAGTTACAAAACCATTTTCAGTGTCTAGAAGACTGCAATGAAGTGGACGATATGAATGACAAGCTCGTGGAAACTGTCCATGCGGTCGAAGCTAAGTTCTGCAAGACCCGCCACAGAAGAACACAAAAACTCTCCGATCACACTCTTAATCTCATGGCTGTTAGACGGGAGATGAAGCTACATTCTTCAACAGACTTGACAGCATACAGGCATCTGAACAGACAGATCTCCAAATGCATGCGGCGGGACTTACGCAACTTCAATACAGCTCGTATTGAAGAAGCGATCGAGCGGAACCAAGGCTCCAAAGTCTTTGCCAGAGATCTGTCTGCCAGAAAGAGCCAACTGTCAAAGCTGAAGACAGAATGTGGCAGCATCGTTTCCGGGACACCTGAGATTTTGAGTGAGATTGAGAGGTTCTATGGGCAGCTGTACACGTCATCGTTGGAGCCACACGCAAGTGTGAGTAACGATCCAAGAGCGAGTCTCATCCGACACTATTCCGAAGATATCCCGGACGTCAGTCTGAGCGAGATTAGAATGGCTCTCCAGCACCTTAAAAACGGTAAGGCCCCAGGCGAGGATGGAATTACAGCGGAGCTTCTGAAAGCGGGTGGAAGACCGGTACTTGAAGTCCTTCAGAAGCTCTTTAATTCCGTCCTCCATGGTGGCATTACACCGGAGGCGTGGAGCAGAAGTGCGGTGGTCTTGTTCTTCAAGAAAGGTGACAACGCTCTCTTGAAGAACTACAGACCGATTTCCCTTCTGAGCCGCGTCTACGTGCTGTTTTCGAGAGTCATTACGAATCGTCTCGCGCGCAGACTTGACGACTTCCAGCCTCCCGAACAAGCCGGTTTCCGAAAGGGCTTTAGCACAATAGACCACATACATACCCTTCGGCAAATTGTACAGAAGTCCGAAGAGTACAATTTGCCACTATGTCTGGCGTATGTGGACTATGAGAAAGCCTTTGATTCCGTCGAAATTTGGGCGGTGCTGCAGTCCCTTCAGCGGTGCCAAGTTTACTGTCGGTATATCGAAGTGTTGAAGTGCTTGTACAGTAGGGCAACGATGGCTATCCGAGTACAGAATCAGAGTACGAAACCTATCCAATTGCAGAGAGGTGTAAGACAGGGTGACGTCATATCCCCGAAACTCTTCACCGCTGCATTGGAAGACGTTTTCAAGCTTCTGGACTGGAAAGGACACGGTATCAACATCAATGGTGAGTACATCACTCACCTTCGATTTGCCGACGATATAGTCCTTATGGCAGAATCGCTGGAGGACCTAAGCACTATGCTCAATGACCTCGATAGTGTTTCCCAACGGATAGGTCTTAAGATGAACATGGACAAAACAAAGATCATGTTCAATGTCCATGTCACACCTATGGCGGTAGTTGTTGGGAGCACTAAGCTCGAAGTTGTTGACGAGTATGTTTACCTGGGACAAATAATCCGACTAGGTAAGTCCAACTTCGACCGAGAGGTCAATCGACGGATTCAACTCGGCTGGGCAGCGTTCGGGAAGCTACGACACATCTTCTCGTCAGACATACCTTAAAACCTGAAAACGAAATTGTACAACCAGTGCGAGTTGCCAGTGATGACTTACGGAACTGAGACGTGGTCCTTCACTGCTGGCCGTATGAGGAAGCTCAGGATCGCTCAGCGAGCTATGGAGAGGGCTATGCTCGGAGTTTCTCTGCGTGATAAACTAAGGAATGAGGATATCCGCAGTAGAACCAGAGTAACCGACATAGCCCAACGGATTAGTAAGCTGAAGTGGCAGTGGGCCGGCCATATAGCTCGAAGAACCGACAACCAATGGGGAAGAAAGGTTCTCGAGTGGCAGCCTCGTACCGGTAGGCGAAGTGTAGGGCGTCCCCACACGAGATGGAGTGACGACCTGGTAAGATATGCAGGAAGTCAATGGATGCAGGTGGCTCAGGACCGTGCTTTGTGGCATTCTTTGGGGGAGGCCTATGTGCAGCAGTGGACTTGTGAAGGGCTGTAATGATGATGAATGATGACTGACAATAATAATAAAAAAAAAACGCGTCAGTTTCATTGTATGTAGGAATTGACATAAATATTGCAAAAATATTTGATTTTCAATACTTTTCTCTCAAAAAGTACATGTTTCCGCATATTGAAACTTTGTGTGTGTGCTTATAATAATGTAATTTTTCAGTAAAAATACGTATCAACACCAAACTCGACGGACGTCAATGGAAAGTCGTACCTTTGATTTTCAATATTTTTTTCTCAAAAAGTACGTGTTTCCGCATATTGAAACTTTGTGTGTGTGCTTATAAAAATAATCTTTATAAAAATAATCTTTATGTAAAAATACGTATCAACACCAAACTCGACGGACGTCAATGGAAAGTTCTACCCTCTACACTCACCATACAAATCAGAATTAAGCTGCTGTTTTACGCTGGTATTCTGTTTAGTCCATGGTACCACCCCAGTACAGCCGACCCACATAGATATATAGCTTATATGATCATCGTACCTATGAGGATGCAAACATAAACCCCAAAATAGGAAGACTATATGGTCCTTCAAAAAAGATATGCGTGTTAGTCTGTATAACCTCATATTAAATTTTTAAATAAACAAATCATTAAATTATGGAGTGTAGAGTACAAGGAGAACCATCTTATAAGGGGCGAAAGTTGAAAAAGTGTCCTACTATTTACTGAAAATAGAGGTTCCAAAACCTACCACAATAGCGCTGGCGTCTGATAAACTACGATATGAAGATAGCTGTTATGAACGGAGTGAAGTCAGCTGAATTCAAATATTTAAAAAATTTCATGACTAAAGTAGTTAGTAAAATGCCAGTATAAAAAATCTCAACTATTTACGTAGTACAAAACCAAGCGGATTGGTTGGTCCTTGTTTATTTCTCCATCTTACTCTAATTACTTTTGGCGCTTTTTTTTTTAAATTATCCTATGCTACTGCAGCGCCATCCTTATTGGACACGTTTTTAGGGACACTTTTCATAGTATAGAGATGGTCCTCCTTCTCTATACACTCCATATTCCTTACGTTTCTTGAAAATAACGTAACGGCCCACGTCTAATATCAAGACTTTGACAGTTCA